CCAAACACTCATACAAATACAAATAAAAAAAGGAACACTTAAAACATTTTAAAGGTAAATAAATAAAAAAGAATTTCATACGTACATGTGTTTTGATGACCCCCCCCCCATTTTCATCCTCCCAATACATTTCCTATTCCCTCTCCTCTGTTTCCTCCCAATTTCTTGTGCTTTTATTTGTTGTGGAATATTCCTTTATACTGAGTGAAGTATGTCACTATGGTTAGTTTAATAAAAAGCTAAATAGCCAATAGCTAACTAAGCAGAATTTTGGGGGCAGAGAGAATGCTGGCAGGACAAAGACTCCCGACATTTATTCTTAAACCCACTCAGCCTAGTTGATGCTGCCCTTGTATGCATGAGTATAGGCCATCCCCTGGACCATGGGCACCCTCTTAGGGCCATGTACCTGAAGAGAATGGGCTCTCTGTGGTGATATTTTGTTTCTGTTATAACAAATAAAGCTTGCCCGAGGATCTGGGTGAGAAGTGAGCAACTAGTTATACATAGAGGCCAGGGAGTCGTGGCACACACCTTCAATCCTAGCACCAACACCAGGGAGGCAGAGGCAGAAGGATCTCTGTGAGTTCAAGTAGATTGATCCAGTCTCAAAGAGAAACAGCCAGGCAGTGGTGGCACACACCTTTAATCCTAGCACCAAGGGGGCAGAGGCAGAAGGATCTCTGTGAGTTCAAGGCCATACTAGGCAACAGCAGATTGCTCCGACCTCAAAGAGAAACAGAGCCACAGGCAAGGCCACACTAGGCTACAGTAGATTGATCCAATCTCAAAGAGAAACAGAGCCAGGTGGTGGTGGCTCACACCTTTAATCCCAGTACTTGGAAGTCACACGCCTTTAATCCCAACACTAGGTGGGTGGAGACAGGAAGGGATATGGCTGGGTGGAGAAAGGAATAAAAGGCGTGGGGGAAACAGGAGCTCAAGCCATTCCGCCTAAAGACTTGTAGAAACAGGACTGAAGACTTGTAGAAACAGGACACCCCATTCGGTCTGAGGATTTCATAGAGGTAAAAACTTGTGACTGGCTGCTCTGCTTCTCTGATCTTTCAGCTTTCACCCCCTAAAGTCTGACTCAGGGTTTTTATTATTAAGATCAATTAGAATTTACACTACTTTCTGCTTCCCACAGCCATCAGTTGCCCATAGATAGCTCCCTACCTAGGGGTGCAATTTCGTGACCCTTCCTTCTCCCATGCCAGGATTTTATCTTGCTTGGTCTTGAAAAAGAAATTGTGCATTTGATCACAGTCACTTCGAGTTCATATGCAATGCCTTTCACACGGAAACAACACTACTTCGTTGTCATTCACTCTCTACGGCATTCTGTCCCCTTCGCCATGAAGATTCCTGAGCCCTGAAAGAGGGATGTCTTTAGCCCAAGATTAAGGACTCCTTATGTCTTCTCTTCTTCAGGATTCCCTGAACCAGAAGGGAGGGATTTGATAAAGACATCCTCTCTAGGGCTGAGTGTTCCAAGGTCTCCCACTGTCTGTGTAGCATTTGGCTTTGGATCTCTGTATTTGTTTCCATTTGCTGCAGAAGGATGTTTCTCTGACAGTGGCCGAGCAAGGCACTGATCTATGAGTATAGTAGAATATCATTAGGAGTCATTTTAAGACTATATTTTTGTATATTTTGAGACAGGGCTTCTCTGTGTAACAGCATCCACTGTCCTAGAACTCAATTTGCAGACAAAGCTGGCCTCAAATTCATGGATGTCTGTCTGCCCCTACCTCCTGAGTGCTGGGACTAAAGGCATACACTACCATGCCCTGACCTGCTACTTTTTTTTTTTTAAAGACTAGTAGTGTTTGGTTTTACCATAAGTCCCTGGGTTGTATAGGCTCAGCTTCTTGGTCATCCAAGCCATGCTTGGATGGGTTCCTTCTCATGGGTGGGCCTTAAGTCAAATCAGATATCCGTTGGTTACTTGTACAAGCTTTGTGCCACCATTGCGTTGCAGCCAGGACACCATTGTTGTTCCAAGGGTTTGTGGCTGGGTCGGTGTTTACATTTCTCTTTTGGTAGTGTGAAGAGTACCTTCTTTTTTGTTTTTGTTTTGTTTTTTGTTTTTCGAGACAGGGTTTCTCTGTGACTTTGGAACCTGTCCTGGAACTAGTTCTTGTAGACCAGGCTGGCCTCGAACTCACAGAGATCCTCCTGCCTCTGCCTCCTGAGGACTGGGATTAAAGGCGTGCGCCACCACTGCTCGGCAAAGAGTACCTTCTTGTGCCAAAGACACTGAACGTCGTAGGGGTGAGGTCTCTATGTAGCCACCAGCTTGATTCCTTCATATTCATTGAGTTGTGTAGGTGTCATTTTCAGCAATGAGGCCTTGCCTTCAGTTTGTGGAGAGCAAGCTACAGTTGGCAACAGCCTTGGTTGTTTGGGGATTCCCATGAAATTCCCTTTGGCCATATACATATACTGGTTAGATGTAACCCAGTCCTGGTACTGGAAGCTTCATTTGGTGACAAGAGATGGCCAGATGGAACTCTGTAGCCCCTATTATTTGGTGATTTCATTTAGATCACCTTAATATATGTACATACTTTAGGAAGCTTTTATTGTATTAGGTTTCCCTACTACCCCTCAAATGCACTTATTTTTGGCTCTCTCTCCGTGTATTCTCTCATTCCTTCTCGTCTTCTCTCCTCCTCCCCACTTGATCCTCCCATTCCAACCGCCAACCCCATTCATAACCATCTAGTTTATCTCCCTTTCCTAATAAGATCTCTCTGTCTTCTTTAGTCCCTTACTGTCTACCTACCCTCTGTGGTGCTCCTTGACTTCACAGCCAATATCCACATATAAGGGAACACGTACCATGTTTGTCACTCTGGGTCTGGGGATACCTCACTCTGGATGATTTTTCTCTAATACCACTTACTTGCGAATTTCATGATTTCATTTTTTAAAAGCTGAGTAATACTCCATTGTACTACATTTTCTTCTCCCCTCTTCTCTTCTCCTTTCCTCTCTTCTCTTCTCCGTGTAACCCTGGCTGTCCTGGATCTCACTCTGCAAGCTGGGTTCAAACTCAGAGATCTGCCTGCATCTGCCTCCCAAGTCCTGGGATTAAAGGCGTGCGCCACCACACCCAGCTGGGCTTTTTCTTAAATCACTTGAAATGGGAAGATCCCCTTCTAATTGGGATCGTTTAAGGCTGGGAAGATAAACCTTTAATCCAGATCTTTTGAGGTGGGATGATTCACCTTTAATCTGGACCAAACCTTCTGATGGCAGCCTATAAAAGGACGTGGAAGAAGAAAGTTTTTCATTGCCCCTTTTGTTCTTGCCCTTAATAGCAAGTCCACTGGCATTAGAGCCCGCTACTTTGGGATCCCAGTGTATACTGACAACCAGATGAGACATCCAGCTTTCTGAACTGAAGAACTACTGGATTCTTGGATATTCCATTGTTGGATTAGCTGGCCTATGGGGGCTATTTTTTTTTAAACCACCACATAGCCAAATTGCTGTACTTACTGGATTTGCAAGTTTAACAAAAATAGAAAAGCTTTACAAAAATGAAATGGCTTTTGCTAATAACAGTTTGAGAAAATTTAATGTTAGGAAATTGTTTTACTCCAGCAATGTGTAAAATCTGTATTTAGTCAGGTGGTGGTGGCACATATCTTTTATATTTTATCCCAGTGCTTACAAGGCAAAGGCAGGCAGATCTCTGAGTTCAAGGCCAGCCTGGTCTATAGTGTGACCTGGTCTATAGTGTAGCCCTATGTAGCCAGGGCTACACAGAGAAACCCTGTCTTGAAAAGCACCCCCAAATAATTTAGTTGTGATTAAATAAAATTCAATAACTTTAAAAGGCAATTTTAAAGGGTAAATTGTTAGAACTGACAACTGAATAGATATTGATGATAAATTCTGAAAATACAGTATTACATATTTTATCCTAGATGAATGTTTAAACTGAGGGACCCAAGAGATGGCTCAGTTCAGTAAAGGTTGGGAAGAAAAGGATTTATTCAGCTTGCAATTCTGTATCATAGTCCTTCATTAAGGAAGTCAGGACAGGAGCAAACAGGACAGGAACACGGAGACAGGAGATGATGCAAAGGCCAGGGAGGGGTGCTGCTCACTGCCTTGCTCTTCAAGGCTTGCTCAGCCTGCTTTCTTGTAGAATCCAGGGCCATCAGCACAGGATCCGCATCAGTAGTCATGGGCTAGCCTCTCCCGTCAATCTCTAAGTAAGAAAATACCTTACAGGACTGCCTGTAACCTCATCTTATGGAGGCATTTTCTTTTTATTTATTTATTTGTTTATTTATTTATTTATTTATTTATTATGTATACAATATTCTGTCTGTGTGTATGCCTGCAAACCAGAAGAGGGCACCAGACCCCATTACAGATGGTTGTGAGCCACCATGTGGTTGCTGGGAATTGAACTCAGGACCTCCAGAAGAGCAGGCAATGCTCTCAACCTCTGAGCCATCTCTCCAGCCCCCTGGAGGCATTTTCTTAATTGGCCCTCTTCTTAGTCATTTTAGCTCGCGTCAAGTTGACATAAAACTCCCCAGCAGTTGGGGTGGCACAGCCAACACACGTGAAGCGGGTTGTGAATTGAAGGCCATCCATAATGCATGAGACCCGCTCAAAAACAGAAGCAAAATAACGAAAACCGGGCTTGTACTCTGCATATGGCCACGGCCCTATTTAAAAATTTTTGTTTTACTGTATTTCATAAGTATCCCTTAGCCTAGTAGCTGGCAGACAGGCAGCAGACCCTACCTAGTCTAGAGGAGCCCCTCAAAAATTTGATCTGAGAACTCCGGACCCAGTTTCCGGCAAGGGAAAGATCTGAACAAAGCCATAGAGAACGCTCAACTTGCTTCTAGGGTAGGTGAGGGCAGAAACCTAATCGACACAACATGCCAGGGCTTCCTTCCTCACGCTTCTCATCCGGGCGCGAGGTGTGAGCCGCGGTACTGAACTACGCATGCGCGAGCCTCGGAGCGACGCACGCGTGGCAGGCAGGGGCGGGGACATGGCGTCATCAACGTGCGACCTCTTTCCCGGAGCCGGTCGTCCACGGTATTGAGGTATAGTGCAAAGCTGGGTTCGGGTGATTGTCGCGCTCCTGTCAGGGCCCCTTTTCCGGCGTCCCGGGATCGCGTCCGTCCTGTGGCCGACTGGGGAGCCAGCGGGGCCTCGGTGCCGCTAGCGTGGTCCCTGCAGTCCCCTGAGCCTGGCAATGGCGCTCTCAGGCTCTGCCTTTCCTCGGCCCCTGGTTTCTCTCCCTACTCTGCCTTTGCCCTTCTCTTGTTTAACGTTGCCTTTCAAGGGTTGAAAAGCAACAAGTGAAAACCCAACGAAATCTGTTTCTAACTGATTTCAAATCTAAACGGAGAAAGGCTGTGATGGAAGGCGAAAAGAGTAATTTTTCCATGCACTCCTTACTATTCTGCCCAAGATCGGAACGCTCACGTTGGCAATGTTAGCTCACTTGAGATAAAGGCTTCCTTAATGTTTCTTTCTTCATTTTTTCTTTTTTTTGAGACTGGGTTTCGCTATGTAGCCCCGGGTGCCATGGAGTACTCTCTGTAGGCCAGGCTGGGCTTGTACTCAGAGGCTCCCCCTCCCTCTGCCTCCCAAGTGCTGGGATTAAAGGCGTGCATCACCATGCCCTGCCAGCATCAACAGTAAAAAGAGTCAGGCCCTATGGAGCTGGAATTACAGGTGGTTGCGAGCTTCCCAATCTGGTTGCTGGGAACCAAACTTGGGTCCTCTGGAAGATAAACAAGTACTTTTAACTGCTAAACCACCTTGCCAGCCTTGTAATTTATGTGCTTTTTTATTGCTGAACTTTTGGATTGTGTGTGTGTGTGTGTGTGTGTGTGTGTGTATTTTCTCATCTGCAGGAATATGTGCCCGTGTGTGTATGTGGAAGTCCGCACATGATTTCTTCTTCCATCCTTCAGTTTGTTTATTGAGTGGCACTCCACAATGTTTTTCATTGAACCCGAGACTCACTAACTTCAGCCATTCTAGCTAGGATGCTAAGTGATTCCCCGTTTCTGCCTTCTGAGTGTTGGGCCCCCTCCATACCCGCCCCACATTTATGAGGGTGCAGGAGATCTGAATTCCAGCCCTCAAGCTTGGGGTGGGGGCAGGTGCTTTATCCAGTCAGCAACTTCTCTAACTCCTGTGATGTGTTTTTAGAGGTTAATACATCTGAAAAGGTAGCCTTGTATATTCTCAGATTTTACTGAAAATTGCAGGTAACACTAACAGAATCACTGACCAAGACAGTAGTATTTATTGAGAACTTATATATACGGTTCATCATTATTTTCAAAGGTAATGTTGTATAAAATGTAATTATAAGAATAGAATTATGGTGCCGAACCTGCAAATTGCTTTCTTGTTACAAAAATACATTAAGTATATGTTGTATTTTCTTTCTGTCACTAATATGGTTATTATATGGAACTCTAATTGCCGTAGAGATGGAAACAGCTTCCAAATATACATTACCATATATTTTCCTCCTGAATCCATGTAGTAACTTCTAGTATTTGTAAGTCCAAACTGTGACATGATGCTAAGATTCTCTAAACTTGGGTCCCAGTTAACTCTCTGTGTGTGGGAGGGGGTTGGGTGTGAGTGTAGAAGCTGCATTTTGAGTTTGTATGTGTGGTGTGTAGAAGCTGTACTTTGAGTGTGTGTGGGGAGTGTAGAAGCTGTACTTTGAGTGTGCATGTCTGTGGGGTGTACAAGCTGTACTCTGAGATTTCATCTTTTTTGTCCCAGTTGACTATGTGTGGGGTGTAGAAGCTGAACTCCGAGTTTTCATCTTTTCTGGGCTCATGATGTGTGCTATGGTGCTCATGACGGTGAGCAGTATCAGCATGGATTCAAGTGACTCTTGTGATCTTGAGGGTAAATTACATAGTGTGTAGTGTACTTAGTGAGATATTCAACACCTCAGCACTCTGGCCTTGGACCAACTTCTTTTTTCTGTCTTCATTTATTCCTTTAGTGACTGGTTCCCATCTTATGACTTTAAATACCATCTGTTCATTCACAATTTTCAATTTTTTATTTAACCAGCGACCACTTCCTTCAACTCTAGACTCCTTATACTTAGCTTCCCCCTCAACCCTTCTATTTGATGACTCAGCAAACATCTGAATATTTTTCTGCTCCCACAATCCTGCCCATCCTGCTTTAGGGCAGATTTTGTGTTTGTTTGCTTGCTTGGCTTTGTTGGTAACAGGACTTGGCTTTGAACTCAGGATCTCTGGCCTCAGATTCCCAAGGCTGGGGTCGTGAGTGTGCACCACTGTGTCCACTCAAGTCTTGGTTAGCAGCAGCTCCGCTCTTATGGTTGTTTCACTTTATTCTCGTAACCCACAATCAGCCCCTGAGTGGATTCTGCTGCCTTTGCCTACAAAATCCAACCCAAGCTGGACCACTGTCCTCCACCTTCAGTTCCTTCTGCCTGCTTAGGTTCATAGCTGATGCTGTCATTTCATCCTTCATAATTAGTCCCCTACAGTTCATCCATCCTGTACAGCAGCCAGCGTGGCCCGCCACGCCTGCAGAGGACTTTCATTGCTTTACTTGCTGGTCTCTTCCCCTCTCGCCCTGCCACACCTCCCAGTCAGCTGGATTCTAATACATTTATTAATTTGTTGAGAACTAGCTCTAGCCCTAACCTAATCCTAAACACGCATTCAATATATTTTATCATATTCACTGCACTCCTCTCCTAACTCCTCGGACTCCCACCCTGCCCCAGTCAGCTGTTTGAAGGGCGCTTTAGCAAGTCCTCTTTCCTGCTACCCACAGCTGATTCTGCTTCCGTGATGGGTGTAGCTCCAGAGTTGTAGATGTTGATTTTACTCTTGTAGATTAAGGACAGACGCAGAAGCTTCATGTGGTGTTGGTGGGAGGGAAAGAGAATTAAGGCTGAAGGATGACAGGGCCAGACTTTGACGTTGCTTTCATGTTGTATAAAAGAGTGTTTTGTCCTGAAAGGATAAGGCGCCATTGCAGGGCTCAACGAGCCGAGTGTCAGTACCTAGTTAGGGTATTGCCATGAAGACTCCTCCCCACTGTGCTTGTCTACTTGACTCCACTCTGAAGAGTGTTTGGAGATGGGTTTGCTTTCCTCGGGTCTTGTTATGCCTGCTAGTTTGCAGTGTCAGGGCACCCTGTATCTCCCCACGCCATTGTGTTTTTATGTTTCTGTGATTATTGGATTGAGGTGTATCATGTGCAGTAAGCACAGAAGCTCAGGGTCCAGGTTTCTGCTCATCAATGCATTCCAAGCATCAGGGTTGTTTGTTGTCAATTCTGGATACTTGTGTGGTGAGTGAGCAAGCCCTTGTGGCTGGCGAGTGACTGTTCAGCACATGCTCTTCTTGATATCCCAGTGTGCCCCGCAAGCCGAGGAGACAGTGCACAGTCGGTTCAGGAATGAATGAGGGCATTGATAGTGCTCCCAGCTGGGCTCTGTGTTTGTGTCCTCAGGAAGGCTAGTGCACCTCGAGCTAAGGTTGAGAACTGGCTGGTGGGCACCAAGGGAGGTTAGGTTTGTGGTGGTGTCTCTGAGAGAGTTGGTGGGAGGTGTGACCGTTCAGAAAGCTAAGCTAGAAGAGGCAATAAGATTGATGAAGAATATATATACCTCTATGTTGGCCAGAAAATTCAGCCCCAGGGAAAAGAAGACATTTTGGTTCTTTGAATGTGGTAGTGGAGCTAAAGAGTCATAGGTTTGCCTATAGCTGCTAAGTAGGGGGATTGATCATCTGTCTGTCATCCCCAGTACATTTCAAATTGTCAAACACATGAAGCTTTTATTATAGATTTGTTTTAACACATTGTGTAAATCTCCTATAGTCCTAGTTCCGAGAACTAGGTATGCTGTCTCACTTCCCTGCTTTTCCTTTCCTGGAAGTAGCTACAGTTAACAGTTTATTTTGTATGTTTTAGAGAACTCACATGTATGTATAAGTATGTTAGTTTTCAGTTGCTGCTTGAAAAAGGGATAAATGTAAAGAGAGGAAAGACTTGTTGGGCTTATAGTTTTGGAGATTCAGTCCATGACTGGTCCTTGCTGCTCTTGTATGTGCCAGGGAGAGGCTGAGAGGGAGGGAAATCCACCCAAGTCCACAGTCTTCTTGGAGACCGCCCCCTCCCCCAGTATGACTAAAAAAACTGCCAGCCGGGTCTTAGGGTTTCTTTTCCCTTCCCTCCCCTCCCCTCCCCTCCCCTCCCCTCCCCTCCCCTCCCCTCCCCTTTCCTCCCCTCCCTCCCTGCCTCTTTCTTTCCTTCTTTCTTTCTTTCTTTCTTTCTTTCTAAAATTTATTTATTTATTATGTACACAGTGTTCTGCTTGTATATATGCCTGCAGGCCGGAAGAGGGAACCAGATCTTATTACAGATGGTTGTGAGCCACCATATGGTTGCTGGGAATTGAGCTTAGAACCTCTGGAAGAGCCATCTCTCCAGCCCCCTATTTCTTAGACTTCTTAGGTTTTGCTATCTTCCAAAATTGTCATGAGCTGGGGACCACAGTCTGACATGGGTCTTTCTGGGATTCACACCCAGGCCATAGCAACCAAGTATGTGTCTACTCATGTTGTTTTCTTAAATAAAGAGAAGGTAATATGAGGGTTGAATATGCGCGTGGTGCAATAAGGCCCGCATATTCAGTATCATAATGGAACCCATTGTGGACATTAATTTTTTAAGTAAAGAAACAAGTGAGGTATATTATTTATGCTGCTCTTCAGTTTTCACCTCCTGACCTACCTTACAAATCTTTCTGAACCACACCTCAGTGCTTTTACTACTGCAGGTGCTTTATCGGATGGTATGTCCTAATTTAGTTAATCAGTCTGTATTCGTAGGCACTGTCTTGCGGTTTTGAGAAATATTGCTGCGGATGCACACTAACATGTTTCATGTAAATTAAATGTACATTTCTGAGAAATATGTTTACTGGGTCAATGAACACATGCATACGATTTTGAAATGAAGTATCAAATCCAGAAGATGCTTAATTAAATCAAACGGCTAACGGTGAAAAGGGCCTGTTCGTGGCCACCTTTTGCTTATATTAGGTATTGTTTCACACATGAAAAATGGCATTTTGTTCTCGTGGTTTCCTTGGTGGAGTCAAGTAGTTTTTTTTTTAATATTTTTATGGTTTATTTAACTTTATTTTATGTGCATTGGTGTGAAGTGTCAGATCCCCTGGAACTGATCTTCAGACAGTTGTGAGCTGCCATGTGGGTGCTGGGAACTGAACCAGGGTCCCCTGGAAGAGCAGTCAGTGCTCTTAACCACTGAGCCATCTCTCCAGCCCCCAAGTAGTTTTCTTTGTAGTCATCTGGATTCTTTTGTGAGCTGCTCGCCTCTTTGTCTACTTTCTGTGGAGTTGTGTGTAGTTTCTGCCTGTTTGTTAAATGCATTCACAGAGGCTCTTCCTGTTGTGCTACAGGTTCATTTCCTTAGTATTTTGTTTGGATTTAACCTGATCTATGTGTTTTTACATGGATACATTGTAAAGAATCAGATAAACATAGAGGGATATTTTTGAGCTTGGGGGGTAACTTAGAGGTAGGTTGTGTACTTAGCGTTCTTGAGGCTTTGGTTCAGTTCCCTGGCAGCTGGCCTGCCCTGCCCACTGAAATGACAATGTCTTAAAGACTTGTGTACCATGATCCAGTGATCTGAAATGTCAGCCTCTATTGCCAGCGGTAGAGTTACGAGCGTGGTTGAGCAGCTGTGCAGGTCCGGTGAGCACCTCCTTCCTCTCCCCTCCCTGTAGTACTGTGTGAATGTTCTAGGCTGCACCTCTTCATCCTGCAGTGCAGGACCTGAGTCATAACTGCTCTCCAACTTCATTGTATAATCTACGTAAATCCTTGTTTTGCACTTTGGTTTACTTTATGAAGGCTATTTTTTCAAGGTCATGGTTTTTATCACTGTGTACTTCAGTATGTATCCTTAGATGGCAGACATTATATATCTATAATAGTGTTTTCATATATAACAAAATTATCCATAATTTTGATAATGACCTTTACAGATCATGAAATCAACTAGGTTATTTTATGAATGAAAACTTTGAAGCCCAGAGAGATTTAGTGATTTTTCCCCAAGGTAATAGAGTGTTCAAGCAGGTGCACTGAAAGCTCAAGTGTCTGTTTCCACAACTGTTGTTAAGATGCTTAAGGACTAGAAATACACATATGAACTTGAACTTGAAAGGTAATTTTTGTGATAGTTGATAAAGATTTTTCGTGTCTAGGATTTGTTTTTTAAGTTTAATACAATGAACTGTCAGAATGATCCTAAGCTTTCAAAAGCTAAATAAAACATAAAATTTTCAAACTCACTTTGTTTCTTCAGCACATGTTAGAATTTTTTTTTAAAATCAGACTTTCAGTTTCAAAAAAAAATTGCCTTCATTAGAATGCTTTTTTAAAATGTAGTTTTTCCTCATTTTTTTTTTTTCTGAGATGGCGTCTTACGTTGAACTTACCTACAGCTGAGGGCGACCTGTATTTTGTTCCACTTCCCAAGTGCCTGTGCCACTGAATCTGGGTGAACATGGGTTTTGCCTATTGATATGTGGTGTTAGAGTCATGTTTTCGGAGCTTTGAAGGCATCCAAGGCTTGGTGTGTGGCCTGGGCGGGCTTTTTCCTCTTTCCCAGAAAGGAGGTGTGCTTAGGAGGAGATGGTGGAAGAGATGCCGGAAGCTGCTGTCCTAGACTTGCGTGCTCAGATTCTCCTTCCACCCTTACTCAAAAGTAAAAGTGCTTTTTATTTTCTTTCTAAAGCCCTGTCTCCAATATGAATTCTGAGATTTCTTTTCGCAGTTGGTGGAAATGGCAGGTGAAGAAATGAATGAGGACTATCCCGTGGAGATCCATGAGTCCCTGTCGGCCCTGGAAAGCTCCCTGGGTGCTGTGGACGACATGCTGAAGACCATGATGTCCGTCTCTAGGAACGAGTTGTTGCAGAAGGTATTCTTTCTTTATTTTTGAGACAGGATTTCTCTGTGTAGCCCTGGCTGTCCTGGAACTCACTCTGTAGACCAGGCTGGCCTTGAACTCATAGAGATCCTCCTGATTCTGCCTCCTGAGTGCTGGGATTAAAGGTATGCACTTCCACAGCCTGGTAGCAGAAGGTATTTTAAAATCTGTTTCCTGAAGATGAATTTTGTAAGACTGAAACGTGGAAGAAGCAGTTGATTGACACTGTCCATATCTCTCTACTAGAGTTTCAGATGTAGATGTGTTGGGGTATATTTAGCCAGAACATCCTATAAAACTTTTCATTGGGAACTTTTTTGAAAAGCAAGGACATTCGTAGCCTTTTTTTTTGACAGAATCTGTCTTTGACCTTTTAAGTCTTGTAATGATATTATCAGAGTTTCTGGAAACTCTGCAGTACAAAAACAGTAATTAAATTTCTCCTGTCTTTGGTATTGCCTAAGCATTTTGTTCTCCTTCCTATATGTAACTGAACCATGTACAATGCTTATGTTGACATAAAAGCCCAGATTATAACTCTGAAATTGATATAATTTAGAAGAATTTTTCTCAGAGTGTAAAAATTCCTTGTTTAATCAAAAATGATACCTTGAAGTGAAAATTTTTAGCAAAACAACAACAAAAACACTGGTTATATTTGGGCATATGTATGTATACATGTAAGTTTATAATAGCAGCCATGAATATGAAGGAGAGCAGTGAGGGTATGGAGCAGGGGGGTATAGAGCAGGAGGGTATGGAGCAGGGGAGTATAGAGCAGGAGGGTATGGAGCAGGGGGGTATAGAGCAGGAGGGGTATAGAGCAGGGAGGGTATAGAGCAGGAGGGGTATAGAGCAGGAGGGGTTTAGAGCAGGGGCGTATAGAGCAGGGAGGGTATGGAGCAGAGGGGTATAGAGCAGGGAGGGTATGGAGCAGGGGGCTATAGAGCAGGGAGGGTATGGAGCAGGGGGGTATAGAGCAGGAGGGGTATGGGTATTACTGGATTTTAGGAAGTGAGAAAACATGCCTTTGATGCTGTGTGGTTGGGAAAAGTTTGAAGTGTTATCTGTTGATGTGCAAAGTTTGTGTGCATCTCTCAATCTTCTGTTCTTTCTCTTTTACTAGTTGGACCCACTTGAGCAAGCCAAGGTGGACTTAGTTTCTGCATACACATTAAATTCAATGTTTTGGGGTACGTATTTTACTTTGTAGTTTATTAGGAAGTATATTACTGTAAAGGTGGTTTGCTTTTAAGAGCTAGCAGTCAGCATAGAATTATTTTTTATAGTAATTTTATTATTCAAATGTTTTTTATTTTATGTCAATACAGGATGCCTGTGATCCACACACAAACTTAATATTTCATAGAGATTAAATAATTTGAAATTGAATTAACTGTGCAACCTTCCTTCCACGAATAACTAGGGGTTCTTTTATTATAACACTTAATATATATACTACTTTACTTAATGCTGTCTTTCTCTTACAGTTTATTTGGCAACTCAAGGAGTTAATCCTAAGGAGCATCCGGTGAAGCAAGAATTGGTAAGACGTCTTTGATTTATCCCTGTTTATAGGTCTCCTCTATAACTCTGGAATTCCAGACTTATAGCTGTTATCACGCTGATTAGGGGGATCAGAATTAGGGCAGAATGGCATAATTCCAGTAATTATTTATAACTTTCATATTATTTTTCCTATAAATTGTTAAGATTTTATTCATCTCCGGGGCTACTTAAGAAAAAAAAAAAAAACTCTTAGACAATTCTTAAAAGTGTATTCCAGTTGATTTACTAGCAAAGACGGGGAAATTTCTCTCCTACCTTTTCAGTTCCTCCATTAACTCATTTTCTCAGCAGTAAAGAATTCAGTTCAGCAACAAAGCTAAAAGCTTTTTTGGCACCAGCAGTATGTCTACTGTCCAGTAATTCTGCATCAGTGACATATTTACAACCTGCAATAAATCTTCTAGGTTGTCTCTGTATTCCATTTAGATGTATAAGTACACTAAATAAGATCTAATATCTTGGAGTTTTTGCTGACTTCAAATATTAAGTCAAATCATCCAATTCAAAGGAGAAAAATAGAAATCAAACATAGTTACCTTACTGACTTGGCTTCATGAATAAGAATTTTAATGAATTTATTCTTTGTGTACATAAAATGTAATGTACATATATATGCAAAACACACTTGACATTGTATCCCATTTTCAAGTCTTCTAGTAGCCAGTAAAGTGTGTTATTTACATCTTAGTAAAGCATATAGGTAATATACTTAAAAATAAAATGAGTAATTCAGGCCTCTTATCCTCATTTATAAAAGTGTATAGATCAGGATATTTTCTTCTTTTAAAGTTCTTGAGGGAAAAATAAATTTATACTTAAATAGCGGTTGTGAAACAATTTTAAGAGAAAGGCATAAAGGAATATGTATAGATTTTATTTGATTTATGATATTGGCTTTAAGAAGTACAGGTTATCTTTCTAGCTTTCTAATGGTGTCCTTTTATGAAATTATTTTTAACCCAAAGTTATTTCCAGTACTCAATATTGTGTTTGTAAAAGGATAAGACCATTTGTCTTCATTCTCCTTCAGAATCTATTTCATGGAGAGCATATTAATTTTCTGGATAAGGATTGGCAAATAAAAAGCCTTCTTAAGTCTATTACCCTTTCCTGACCTTGCAACAGACATTGCTAATTGATCCCAGAGTTAGAGGAAATCTATTTGCTATTTGTCATATGCATCACAAGTGGGAAACAGTCGCCTTCTTCATCCAGTAATGTTTGAGTGCCTACTACGAGCCTGGCATCGTTTTCGAGCGAGATGATTCCTTGGAGAAAAAGCTGAGGAGTGTGGCAGGTGCCACACCCACAGTGTGACCATAATAAGATGAACACCACACATACTGACTGTGCAGGATGCTCAGGGGTATTCTATGGGGAAAAGGAAAAAGCAGAGCAGGTGTAGCAAATTGGGGTACCTGATAAAGTGCCAGTGTTAAATGGAGGCGCTCCCTGACAAGACTGACAGCGCAGCAGACTAGAGGAGACTGGATGAAGGAGGGCGCAGGTCCCAGGGCAGGTCTAGGGTGGGGGTGCTGCTTTCTAAGGGTTGCAGCTTTGACGCGGAAGAAGGAGGCAGTAGAGGATTTTGAACAGTTACTCAGTTTTGGTAATGAAACACTTGTAAGGTTCTGTATTTTACTGTGTATGTTCATATATCTCTTTTATTTCAGTGAAACTTGAACAGTAATCAGTCACTTACTGTATTGTATGGTTTCATCAACTTTAATTCATCATTTGAAGTATAAGATTTATTTATTCTGAGTAATATTCTTAAGAGATTTAAAGTAGCCCAGAAACCTGTTATGTTTCTTACCTTTAAAGTCTGTGTATTTTATTAGAAAATTTCCCATGCTTACCAGTCAAAATTACGAAATTGAATAAAAGAGCTCCTATTTCATTCTTTCTATTTTAATTGTGACACTAGGCAGTAACATAAAATAGATATAAATACTGCCCCACCTATTTTCTGTTTAGAAATGGTGGGAGAATTGATTGGTTGGTGTAAGAATTTAGGTTAATGTGAATTAACACAGTAGAGCTGCGTGTCGGCCAGTCGTTGTTTATTGTGATACCCTGGCATGTGCCTTTTCCTGGAAGAGTTCAGAACTCTTCTAAAATGGTTGGTTCTTGATTATTGCTGTTTTTAGACAGTCTGGTGTAGAGCCAAGGTGCCCTCAAACTGACTGACCTTCAAGTCTTGATCCTCCTGCCTTTGCTTTTCAAGAGGTGGGTGCATCCCCATGTCCACTGAAGGGAGTTTAAAGTATGCCTTCCCTACATTGTCCAAGAACGCAGAGGGCATGCTTAGCCTGTTTGCACTCACTAGTCCCGTGGACTTAATTGTCAATAAATACTCACTGTTGGTTTTCACTGAGCAAGAGTATAATAAAACCTAAAGATAGTGAACAGCTCAGGAAATCATTGCCTTTTATTTTCTTTCTTTTTATCTTTAAGGAAAGAATCAGAGTCTACATGAACAGAGTCAAGGAAATAACAGACAAGAAAAAGGCTGCCAAGCTGGACAGGGGTGCTGCCTCAAGATTTGTCAAAAACGCACTCTGGGAACCGAAACAGAAAAATACACCAAACGTTGCTAATAAAGGGAAAAGTAAACATTGACTTTCTGGTTTTGATGTACATATTTTCAAAAAGTACATCGTTTTTATCAGCTTACGAAATAGGTAGTTATGTGGCAATGTGAGGTTTAAATGGATTCCTTTTTGAATTCATATGTAAATTTACACATTAAATTTGTGATACTGAATTTTTTTTGCTGAGAAAGATTAAGTTGTCTTTATTGATTTTCATATGAGGTATCATGATGTTTTTAATATTGTAAGATATTCTATAAGCAATTGTGAAATCCAAATGTTCTTTGTAAACATTTGTGGTGTTTTAAATGAATAATGATATTATGAAGTGTGCTGTCTCTAGACTGGAGATCTAAGGACATCTGTTTTCACTAATGGTGATAAATACAGTGACTTAAATACCCACGCTGTTTTCTGTGTAGTTAGTTCAACATGTTTCTGTGTTTTTTTTTTTTTTTGGCAGTAATTGCTTTCTTAATATTCAAAGTACAAAATTGAAACCTTAAGGCTGTACTTTAACTCTTCACGTTCCATTTAAATAAAATATTCTCATTACCACTGATGGAAAATAAGATTGTGTGTCCTGGCTGGCTTTGGCTTGATTCCCTCCTAACAAAGGTTGTTGCTATGTAGCTCCCTCGCTTCTTGCTATGCACAGAGAAAGGGAGCATGGAAGGCAGGCGTGAGAAGCTGGATCCAGTAGGCTGATTTGTGAGTCATGTCTTAGCTTTCTTTTAGACGTTTTCTGACTCTTGTTTCCTAGGCCACATTTACTAAGGAACTGTTTGAACCAAATTTCTTTATTAAATACTGCCCGTTCGGCACAGGAGGAATCACCTTGTATTTACATTCTGATTTATTTTTCCAGAGTATTTGTCAGGGAGTTCTGCATCTTAAACTGTTTTAGTGACTGAGCCCCGATAGCCTTGCTGTTCTCACCCCACATCATCATGTGTAGGGATGCCAAGTATAGCTAAGTTCTTTAATTTTTGAGAATAAGAGTTGTTGAAATTGTGTTTAATTTTCCACAACAACTTTGAATATATAAATCTCTTGATTCATAGTATGTTATAATGGGCTTCGGAAGGCATGTTAAAATCTGTGATACGTGGAGAGTAATTCCCGTATGGATGCAGAAAACCTCTTAGTTCTGGTACCAGATACTTTGCAAACACGCTTAGGCACGTTTGTAGTTATTTCACTCTTTGCCATTTAATTCTGTCAAATTTCTAGCTAGTTTTCAAGTCACTTCCTTAGAGAAATAAATGCTTTGTTAAGATAATTATAGAATACATTCTTAATGTTCATTGTAGAGAAACTTTTAAATTTAATAAAGAAAAAATTTTAATGAAAATTGTCACATGATTGCAGAAAATCATTAACCAATGTATTGTTTCTGAAAGTCCAGCTTAACAGCCCATTAAATTGGATATCTTTAGTAGCAGTTTATTGGGTTGTTTGATAAAATTAATACCCTGATGTCCGCATTGCCAAGTCCTGAGCTCAGTCCTAGAGATGTTATCTGCAGCCCTTGTGCTGTTTTTAAGAAGTATTATGGAACAATAATCTTAGTTCAGTTCAGTATTTCAGAGTTCTGGGAAATTTTGCTCACTAGCCTCATCTAGAATTACACAGAGTGGTGAGCTCATCAAATTTATAAAATAGTTATTGGTAACAGTTTATTCCAAGTAATGCTTTGCCCTGAGGGTAGGTGTTAATTGTGTGTTTTATGGTCATGGGACTCAGCACATTAGAGAGGTTGTAGCTGTGGTAGTCTTTAGATTTGTAGATACTGATCTTATCTTTTAATATTTTAAGATTTTCTTCTTGTTCGTAGTTGCAGAGTGGGAAGTAAAATATGTTAAATTAAAATTTGAAGGTTGAATCATAATTTACATTTCTGGAGTTAGGTCATACCAAGAAGGTGGGCTTTTCAGAAACTGAAGTATTAAATCTATCCAGTTATTAATATGGACTGGTATTATTTCTAACTACAGGTTTTTAAATTATTTAAAAACACAAATACTTCAGAAACAGACAGTGTACTGAAGATAGACACATTTTTCTTGAAGTGAAAGATACTTTGGGATTAATCAGTTTATGATTCTATTAAATTACAGTTTCATACAATAAATTCCCAGGACTTGTGACTTTTCAAAGTCTTACTGACTGAGAAAGGTTTGGGTAGTGATTCTGAACATTTTTAAAACTCAACTTCACATAAATCAGGAAGAGAAACATGGACCATCCCTGCACAGTAATAACCTTGTTTATGTGCTTCCGTGGCCCCTCCTAGTGACCTCACGGCGTCCTGGCTTGTGTGACTGCTGTGAACACTCCTTGCCCTGCCTTCTAGTCCAAGGCCAGTTTCGGAACTACAGTTGGATGTTGTTTAGCTAATGAGTACCTTAGAGCTGTCACAGGCAGTTGTGGCTTTACATAGGGTTAAAATAGAACTTAACACATTTGGCTTTTTAGAAGGATTTTTAGAAGATCTTGACTCTTTCTGTTTTCTGTTTGGAGATTTGCTGTTAAAGTGAGCTAATTGTCACAGTCTGCTCCTTGGAGCCCTTATCTTTGACTTGATTTGCCTTTTTTTAGAATGCTTATATTGGGGTGTAATGTTTTTAGTTCATTATTTTTGGTGTTAGAGATTGAACCAAGCCCTTGAGCATGCTAGGCAAGCACTCCATCCCCAGTTGCAGCACAATTTAAAATATAGCCACATTAGTGAAGCTATTCACAAAAGGGGCAGCTACAATGAAGCTTCTGACGTTTTAACTTTTAATCCCACCTACCTCCCTACCAAGGCCAAAACCCAGCCAATTCTGGTTCTTCTGGCTCCCGCACCCCCACTCCCTGCTTTTGAGACAGAGTCTCTCTGTGTAGCCCTGGCATTTTGTATTCTTGTCATTTGCTATGAAGACCAGACTTAAACACTTTTCTGCCTCTGCCTCCCAGATGCTGAGGGCAGTTTGATGCTACCACACCCAGCTCAGCTCTAGTCCTTGAAGGTTCATTTTTATTCTCTCTGTGTGAGTGTTTTGCTTGCATGTATGCATTTGCATCATATGTGTGCAGTGCCCATATAGGGCAGTAGATGGTGTTGGATCCCTGGAACCGGAGTTATAGCGGTAAGCTGCCACGTGATGCTGGGAACTCCAAGACCAGGGCGTGACCTTAGCCACTGAACCATCTCTCCAGACCCTGGTTCTGGTTCTTAAAAGGTGCAAAGATGCTGCTGCATTTTCCTCCCTCCCAGGAAGCCTTTAAGTTAGCTCATGGTCTCTGCAGGACCACCACATGCAAAATGCCAGATTCACGAAGTGATATATATTTGAGATGGTGTACAAAATGTGATGGTGGAAAAATAAGCTTTTGTAAATGAATCATCGACGAGACTATTCGCTCTTCAGTTACGCGTTGCCTTTAAAGTGCACCATTTCATTTTGGCAGCTGCAATAAATGGCTGAGGGAAATTGAGGATAATTCACCATTTCAAGATGCTGCTGTCATAATGAGTGTAGACCTATCCGGGGCGTGGATTTAAAGTCATACAGTATTTTAAGGCCAAGCATCCAGGAAATTCATGGTGATAGGATTTGAATGAGGGGATTAGGAGAAATGGAACAGAGCGCTGCCCTTGTGTGGCTGTTACCTACTGAGATACTGTGTGTATTTGATACTACAAGCAGGAGCTTGTTATCCTGAGGCTGCTGCGGAGTTCAGCTCATCTTGGAGTTTATCAAAAAGGATGGGTTATTTAAGAAAACCTGATAACAAGGAAGTGCATCCCGTGTAGAGCTGGAGCGCTGGTGTGCTGGGAGACAGGGCTGTGATGGACCACGCTGGCAGTCTTGGTTTTATCCCTTTCCTTCTCCCTGTCATTCCTGGAGTTATTTAAACCGAAGCTGTCGGCTGCACTACACCTGTCTCATACGGTCCTTAAGAAAGGAATTATTTAAGCTCGCCTGTATACATGGCATCTTCGCTGTTTTCGAGGTTTTGATGCTTGTGATTTGGATGACTTGTTAGCGGGACACAGAACATGGAATATTTCATAGTTTCACTAGGGCACAATTTTTTTTTAATTTAAATAACATTTTTTCATTTATTTACATACCAGCCATTTCGCCCTCCCTTCTCTCCTCCCACCCCTCCCCTTTGCCATCTACCCTATCCCCATCCACTCCTCTGTCTCTATTCAGAAGGGGACAGCCTTCCCACAGGCTTGCACAAAGCATGGCACATAGAGTTGAGGCAGGAACAGGATAATCCAGCATGGAGAACAGGTTACCAAAAGCTAGCTGAGCTCCAGGGAAAGGTTTTGCTCTCACTGTTAGAAGCCTTACTAAGAGACCAGGCTACACGATTATCACACACCTGCAGGGGGCCCAAGTCTGTCCCATGTAAGCTCCCTGACTGTTGGTCCAGCATCTTTGAGAGCTCAGGTCAGTTGTCTCTGTGGGTTTGCCCATCATGACTCCCCGGACTGGTAAAATCCCTCCTCCCTTCTGCAAGACTCTGGGAGCTCAGCGCAGTGCTTGTCTGTGGATCTGTTTCTGCTTCCATCAGTTACTGCATAGAGTATCTCTGAGGGCAATTAGGGAACTGGCCAATCTCCTTACAGTAGATGGCCAGTTCAGACACCCTCTCTACTATTGCTAGGAGTCTTAGTTGGGATCATCTTTGTGGGCTGCTGGGGAATATTTCTGGCACCAGGTTTTTCCCTAACCCTGATAATGCCCCCACTGTCAGTAGTACTCCACTGTGTAAATGTACTACATTTTCCTTATCCATTCTTTGTTTGAGGGGCATCTAGTTTGTTCCCAGGTTCTGGCTATTACAAATAATGCTGCTATGAACATAGTCCTTGTGGTATGATTGCACATCCTTTGTGGATATGCCTAAAATTGGTATAACTGTGTTTTGAGGAAGATTAATTCCAATTCTCTAAGAAACTGCCATATTGATTTCCAAGGTGGCTGTACAAGTTTGCACTTCCACCAGCAATGGAGGAGTGTTCCATTTACTCCACGTCCTCTCGAACATACGCTTTCCTTAATGTCTTTGATCTTAGCCATTCTGACAGGTGAAAAATGGTATCTTGGAGTCATTTTGATTTGCATTTCGCCAGGGCACAATCTTACCTCCTACTCATTCCACCAAGGAAGGCAATATTGAACCTAGCTGATGACTCAACCTCTTGACTTCCGTTTTTTTTTCTCTCACTTGTAGTCTTATTCATTTGTTCACTCATTCATTCAGTAAACCCCTTAGCTGAGATCCCGTGTGCAAAGTTCTGTTTTACACATAGGGGATTCAGTCGTTGACACTGACATGGGGATCCTTGGGAGATATTTTAGTTTGTGAGTGTGTGTGTGTTTTCACTGTGCTGGGATTACATGCTAGGTAGGCAAGTACTCTGCCATTGAGTTATATCCCTGGTCCAAACTTGAAAATGGTTGTCATGAGTGAACTCGGGCACCCACCTCCTGCATTATATATTGAAGACCTAAGATCCAATACTTCAGAATGTCCCCTTATTTTGGAATGGGAT